CATTTTAACTGCAAAATGTTAAACATTAATGGGGTAAATTACAGCAATCAAACATGTATTGCCACAAACTGAGAGTAGATATTAATACAACTTCAAGTGTTTGTTATTTTTGGCAAGTTCAAACCAGCTTTGACAGCTACTTGGAGATTGTGTCCTGTGTGTCTGAGATCAACAGGTTAAGCCATTGCTGCTTGCTTTTCCATTCAAAAATGATTTAGGGCTAAATGTTAGAGGGATTAATGTCAAAAAGACATTGATGATGGCAAAAAATGGTGCCTGAAAGGTAGATAATTCAACAGAATTTGAAATGTGAATAGAAAGTACACAACAAATTTTAAATTTTCCCAGAAAAGATGAGAGTTGAGATCTTAACTTCAATAAAAAAATAAAAAAAATAAAAATTAGGTCTATGACACCCATCAAAATGAAATAATGATGATTAGAGACATGGTAGGAGCTTGTATACCAATGAAACATTAACATTAAAAAATATAACTAATTTACATTGGACACTAAATAGAGTTACAAGTAATTAAATTGTGACTAAGTTCAGTATCAGTGATCTATCCTTTTTTTTAGTCATGGGGACTATAAATGTGCCTTTTTTTAATTGAACTATAAATCCATAATAGATATCTCCAAAATGGTGGTACTAGATATAATATTGACACTTTAATTTGGAAAATAAAATGTCAACATTTTGGTCACTCTAGTTGCCATGTTTTCAGGAACTTCATTTTTGATTAAGTGGCATATTCTTAGGCCCAACTCTTGCTATTAACAAATCACTAACTACACTCTAAATAATGCTGGGGGTTTTTCAGCCCAACTTTGGGTCAAATATGGACCAACCCAGCTGTTGGGTTAAATTTTTACATTAAATGTTTAACCCAAAAGTTGGGTTAGTCCATATTTGATCCAAAGTTGGGTTGAAACAACCCTGCATTTTTTAGAGTGTAGGACGTTTGCCTGAATAAACTCCTAATATGCTGCTTGGTAGGATTAGGGGTGTAGAATATGGTCATGCAGAATATGTGCTTCATAAATACTAATAAACAGTCAATATGTTAACAATAGGCATGCTAATAAGCAACTAGTTAATAGTGAGAATAGACAAGTCACCTTCATTTGTATAGCGCTTTATGCAATACATATTAAATTTACATATACAAAATGGCGTTTGGTCTCGTACCTTGTCAGTGTCATGCGCTTTGCTTGGCCATTTGGTGTGATAAACAGGAAAGTGATTTACCTGACTGATAATAAATTGTTATATTTGATTTATTCTGAACTCTCCTAAAATCATATGACTAGTAAACTGTGAGGAGGCTTTTGTTACCGCAAATCTACGGCCAGGATAGATCAAACTGAAGGCTTGTGAATTATAGGAGCAGTCAGCACGTCATCGGAGACCTTCTGATTTCTGTCTATCGCCGAAGTTAGCAAGTTGTACGGGAAAAGACTAAGTGAATTACACTTTTTGTAATAAGCAAGCAGTCAGTGTCGTGCGCTTTGCTTGGCCATTTGTTGTGTTAAACAGGAAAGTGTGTCCAGCTGAATTTAATTTGAGTTTTGTTAGACGAATATAAAAAGCTTAGTATACCGCGGCAGCCCTCGTGTGAAGCTCTCATCGTGTGAAGACCGAAGAGTGTAAAGACCATTGACTCTACCGTTCGACTCCGACAAGACACATAAGTATCACTTCTGAATCATTCTCTTTCCTACTACTTGTTCCCCTTTTGTTTTCAGTTATTATAACCAATTCTTACTATGTGTTTCCAGATTCCTACTATCACTACCACTCATAAACCATGCATCACACACTGTAGGCAGCGCAATCCTAACAACCTGCGCACTTTGCCTATGTCTACTAATACACTACTTTCTTTTTCTATTGGTCTCTGGAATTGCCAGTCTGCTGTAAACAAAGCAGATTTTATTACTTCTATTACAAGTCATTCAAGACTAAACCTCATGGCCCTGACAGAGACGTGGATCAAACCAGAGAACAATACTACACCTGCAGCACTCTCCAATAATGTCTCTTTTTCCCACTCCCTCCGTCTGACTGGAAGAGGTGGAGGTACTGGTCTGCTTATCCCTAATGATTGGAAATTTAATCCTTTACCATCTCTGAGTATCAACAGCTCCTTTGAATCACATTCAGCCACTATTACCCACCCTCTTAAAATCCATTTTATAGTTGTTTATCGACCCCCAGGACCATTAGGTAACTTCGTGGAAGAATTAGATGTGCTGCTCTCAAACTTTCCTGAGGATGGTACTCCCCTAGTTATGCTTGGAGACTTCAACATCCACCTAGATAAACCTCAGGCTGCAGACTTCCACACTCTGCTTGCTTCCTTTGATCTCAAGCGACTATTAACCACGCCTACTCACAAATCAGGCAACCAACTGGACCTTATTTACACACGACA